ATGCACATGTGCCCTATAGCAAAAACACTCTTAAAAACAAAACAAAACAAACAGTATTAGCTGTACCCAGCTCACATGTATTATTAATCATCAGCAAAGTCATGATGTATTTTTCTATGTTTTTCTATACAAAAATGTGTCATGGCTTTCCTGATGACTCAATAGATACATTCAGTTTAAGTTATCCTATTAAATTCATTCCAGAGCAATTTTTTATTATTTATTAGTGATTTAGGGCAAAAAAGCAAGGTTAATTAAATAAATCATTGATTGTAAAAACAAGGAAGATGTGTCCATCTTAAGAAATCATATGTCACCAAGAAAAATAGAAAAAAATGTCCCTTTAACTTTAAAATCTGGAACAAATTAAATTGGCCAACATTTAAACACACGTTTATGTTTCATTAAAGAGTGAATCAATCAAGTCAATCCAATTAATTTACTTTCTGCAACAATATGATAAGCCATTCAATCAAACATATTAAAATCAGTCATTTTAAAAAGATTTTTTTTTCATGATATACTCATCAGACCAAATTCAAAGACTCCAGATGTCAGGAATAAAAACCAAAAAAAAAAAAAAAAAAAAAAGGTTTCTTTAAAAATAATTATCAACTAGTATTAAAGACTAAATGTATAAATAATAGAACCACAATATAAAGCAGTGCTTTAGAGAATAAATTCAAAGGGATAGCTAAATTAGAACATGAAAGTTTTGGTTTGAGCACATGGAAAGCAAGCAAGCAAGCAAGTCACAACCAAATCAAAGTCTGAGTTGAAACTGAGCAACAGGAGTATGTTATAAACAAACTAGAGGAGGTCTGCATTTTACCTAATAGTCTTGTCATTGATCTAAAAGCAAACTAGATAGATCAAATTAAGACTATCAGAACATAGAAATGGAGTTCATGAAAATCTTGAAAGTTTTTTTTTTTTTTTAAACATGCTCCATAATATCTCTCCAAAAAACTTCACAAACTTCACAGAGTAGTAGAGTAACTGAATAAAACAAGCACAACACGAGGTCTGGGAGGCAGAGAAGTTCACAAATCATACGAGAATCTGAGACAGCACTACTGTCTAAAAAGCTAAAGCACACTAACATACAAGCTCATATTTATGTACCAAAAGGATAAAAACATAAGCATTCTAGAAAATTGATATTGGAGTATTGCTTTCTAAAATGATAGCAATTATATAATACAGTTTATGCTCAAATTATCCACTGAAAAAATTATACCAATGGATGGCCTTGTCAATGAAATATTAGGGGTTAAATTCTCCCAAGTCCCAAATGTTACCAATATTTAAACTTTTACTAATTTGAGAAATTAAAAGCAGTATTTCTATCTGATTAAAACAGATTGGGTAACCTTTCAAGTTTTCATTGGCTATTATTATTTATTTGTAAATGGTTGATATATTTGCATTTTTATGAGGTTGCTATATTTTCCTTAACATTTTGTGAGTGCTCTTCATGTATTAGGGGTCTTAACTCTTCACCTGTTAATATGATGTAAATATTTTCTATCAATCCATCACTTGTCACTATACCGTGTTATATTAGTCCTTACGCTGTACAGAATTTTAAATATTTATATAATGGAATGGTTCATGAATATTCTTCCTGATTCCACATATGTTTGTTTCCATTTACATCTCATTTGTTTAGCTTATACAAGGCCTTAAATGTAGACTGTAAAATAGTCTTTTAATCTTTCTATTAATAGATTTGTAGTTATTTTTACATTTAAATGTTCAAGTCACATCGATTTTTGTACATGCTGTGAAGAGGGCTCTAATTTTATTTTCTTACAAATAGGCATCATTTACTGGAGACTCCATACTATCTACTTCCATTATTGGTATGACTGTTATTACTTCTGAACTCTTTCTATCAGCTATTGTTGATGTTGATGCTGGACAGTTCTGCTAACAAATATCTCTCATTTCTTCCATTTACTGTTTGTTTACTAATTTCCACCTCAGCTATGAAACTTCCACTGACCATTGTAAACAAACTAAAGTAACATAGATCCTACGTTATTTTACTGCAGATTTTCAAATACTTAAAATTCCTCATATGAGTAACAAGTTAATCTTGATTGTTCCTAATATAGAGAGCACCCTGCATTGAAAGAGTATTTTTTAATGAGGTATGCACAAAAAAATCCTCCTGGAAGTGATAAATGAATACAGTAAAGTGGCAGGATACAAAATCAACATAAAAGAATCTACAGCATTTCAATATATGAACAAGCAGGCTGAGACAGAACTGATGAAAATTATCCCACTTACCATAATCACAAAAAGTGTACGATACCTAGGAATAAGTCTAATGAAAGAAGTCAAAGACCTATACAAGGAATACCATAAAACTGTTAAGAAAAGAAATTGAAAATGACAAAGAGAAATGGAAGAGCATCCCATGTTCCTGGATTGGAAGAATTAATGTAATCAAAATGACAATTCTATCTGAATTAATCTACATATTTAATGTAATCCCAGTCAAATTACGAGAGATATTCTACACAGATCTAGAAAAAACAATCATAGAATTTGGAATCATCAAAGACCCAGATCACCAAAGCAATATTGTGCAAGAGTGGAGTAGGAGTAGTTTCACTCCCTGATCCCAAAATATATTACAAAGCTGTGATGATCAAAACAGTGCGTTATTGGCACTGCATGAAAACAAACATGTGGACCAATATAATGGAATAGAGACTTCAGAAATAAACCCCCAAATTTACAACCCACTCATTTTTAATAAAGGACACCAGTCAATCCAGTAGGGGAGGACTCCCTTAGCAAATGGTGCTGGAAAAACTGGGTACCCACCTGCAGAAAGATGAAACTGGATCTCTCACATTAACAAATATATCAATTCAAAATGAGTCAGAGATTTACACTGAAGACCTCAAACTATAAAATTACTGATGGAAAACACCATGGAAACTCTGGGAGACATCGGAAAAAGCAAAGACTTCTTAAATAAAACCTCCAAAACACAGGCAATAACCCCCAAAAATAGACAAGTGGGATTACATCAGATTAAGAAGTTTTTGCACAGCAAAATAAACAATAATTAGTGTGAATCAAAAACCCTTGGAGTGGAGAATATACTTGTAAACCTTGCCTCAGGTAAGGGACTAAAAATCAAAATATACAGGGAATTCAAGTGGCTTACTCCCCGAAAAGTGATCGAATCAATTAAAAGATTATGGGCAAATGAACTGAATAAATAACTCTCTAAGGAAGACATACAAACAGCCAAAAAACATATGAAAAAATGCTCAACATCCCTCATCATAAGGGAAATGTGAAACAAAACCACAACAAAATACTACCTAACCCCAGTCAGAATGGCTAAGGAAAAAAAAGAAAAAGAGAAAATAAAGTGCTGGTGAGGCTGTGGTGAAAAGAGAACACTTTCACACTGTTGTGTGAGTGTAAATTAGTACAGCCACAGTGGAGAACAATATGGAGGTTCCTTAAAGACCTACAAATAGAACTGCCATATGATCCAGCAATTCCATTCCTGGGCATCTACCCGAAAGATAGAAAAAGAGTCAGAAAAGTGCTTGCACATCTATGTTTATTGCAGCCTTATTAACTATTGCTAAGACATGAAACCAATCCAAATGTCCACAAACAGATGAATGGATTGAAGAAGTGTGGTGCATGGAATGGAATACCACTCAGTCATAAAAAACAACAGCACTCTGGCATATGATACAAAATGGAGAAATATTGAAGATATACTGCTGAGTTAAGCAAGCCAGAGTATGAAAGGGAGACACTGTCTCTACTTAATATATACCGAATGTTTACACTCCAGGGCGGAAACTGAAAGATTACAGGATATAGACGCATGGAAAAGGGCTGTGGATACTGGAGACAGTGTAGGAAGAGGGAGGGAGGTGAAGAAAGGTGAGAGAAAGGGAATCAAGGAAATAAAATAGAGAGGCAAGACATTCAAGGGACACAGAAATGAAGGAGTGTCTGTTGATAATAACATACATGATATCTTTAACTGGACTGGTGTGCAGTATATTCATGCTGGGAAAATTTATTCTACAAGCTATGGTAACGTACAGTGATTTAATGTATAAAATAAATTTTTAAAAAAGTCTTTTCTTTTATGGATGGACAACTTTATATAAATACCCTTTAGACAAGGAATCAAAACATTTCTTGTTTGTTTGTTTAATTACCAAGATACTTTAGAAATTGACCAGATAGTAGTGCAGCAATAAAACATGAGGCTCTGTGAGGCTGATCTACATGAGAAGCTTCCAGATTTATATATGGAGACCACCCTGAATATGCCAGAAATATGTGTGCCTATGATCATGACTGACTGAGGAAGAGGTGGGTCATGGTGTCAGGGCCCTCTTAGGGATGCTGTCTCTGTCTCTCTTTCTCTCTCTTGCTCTTGGATGAAATTTATAAAAATTATCATACAAAATATGATAATGCTCATAAAAGTAAGTCAAGTAAAACCTCAGGGTGCAATTTCAATTGTAATTACTCTGATTGAGATTTTTTTTTCTTTTTCTTTTAGAAAGAGGAAGACAAAAGAGGAAAAGGAGAGAGACAGAGATAAGTATTTTCAACCAAGTCTCACTGTGTTGTGATTTTCCTGTTGCAGCCTCTCAATTAGCTAAAATGACAGGTACCCACCACAACTCCCAGCATGTTCAGGTTAGCCTCGGAACTGAACTGGTGCTTCCCATGCAGCTTCCAGCCTTCTAAGTAGTGGTACCATCTGTCACCACCACAGCTGAGCCTAAGATTATTTTTTAAAACAGTTTTCTACTTTATTGATGACTCTTATTTTCCCCTACAAACACTTGATCTGGAATAATTAACACATGAGGTTCCTATCTGTTTATTTTCATGTACACCCAGAAGTTAACCTAAAATTATGCTCATAAACTTTACATTTACTGTATTCTCCCTCTTTTATAGATCCCCATACTTAAAATAGAACTCACCTGAAGTCCTTCAGTGAAGCTTTCCTGAGAGCAGAGGCATCTGTACAGCTGGCCCGTCCTGTCGCAGCTATCAGCATGACCATGACACTGACATCTGCAAACATAAGCATCACACAACTCCTAAGAAACACTAACTTGACTGCGAATATATTTAAGGCCGTATGAATGTATCTACTGTGTGAATCCAACAAAAAAGACAAGCATGCTTAATCAACATGAAAATCAGTTTCTTTTCAATTATATAGTTATGCATGAAAGTTTTTAATTAATCCTGAAGTATTGGGAGAAGTGTAATCAATATCCAAACTGCACTGGTTTGTGAAGGTTATTTTCAAGCCTTCCCAGAAAGAGGGGTGGGATTTTGTACACCTATACCAATTCTTTGCCAGAGGAAGCCATTTACTAAAACTACTTAAAATACAGCTATGAATATAAAGCTTAAAATAAACTGTAGAATGAAGTGAACGAATTTCAATTAGAGGGTTTTTTTTTCTTTTACCAAAATTATACAAACATTTAGTAGTGTTAATATTTTCATTATGCTACTATTTAGTAAACTATGCTTATATACTGGTACTCTGGTTTGCTTTTAAAGATATATTTTAGTACCAAGACTTATTCTTCTAGAACAATTCATTCTAAATATACTTTATGTGTTCATTTCCATATTTGATGGTATGGTACCTAGTTTTGCAGCTATATATATATATATATATTTTAAATATTGTGACTCATGTTCTCAATTCTCATCAGATATAAATAAATCACTCAGGGCACATCAGATCTTTCCTCTAAAGGAAAGTAAGTATTACCCATGGAACTGTGAATTAGCAATTCAAAGAGACTAAGCCCAATATTTACAAATCATCTGGTTCTACACTTGCAACTCCAAATCTAGCGCCTTCTCTTTGCTTTCAAGGATATTTAGAAATTGAACTGGCTACATGGTCTAGTGGTGAAGGGAGCCAGATCCCACATGGCCAACTGCAGTTCAAATCCCAGCCTCGGAGGCATCAAAAACACTCCAGGTATATGTGCATGCATGCAACAAATCCCAAAAGGATGGAGATGTGAGGGAAAAGGGATTACTGTGTTAACATTCTCCATGAGGAGAGGGATGCTTTCTCCTTCTGCCTCGTTACTCTCTGTCTCTCTCTCTGGTGAGTGTACATGCCCTCTAGTAATTAAAAAGAAAAGAATATGAGAAAATTTGAAATTTACATGACAGAACAAACCATGAAAACTATTTGATACATTCTTTCTTTTTTTTTTTTTGAGAGGTTTATTGCTATAGGATGTGTGTGCTCTCGCCAGAAAGAGAGACAGAAAGTGAGAAATCACCCCACAAGGGGTATGGCCACGCTACAATCCCTTCTCCTTCATTTTCCTCTCAGAATCTTGGGCACGCATGCACACACACCCAGCATGTGTTTAAGCCACCGGTCTGGGGACTCAAACCGTGGTTGACTACATGGGAGTCCAGCGACATAGCCATTATACCACCTGCTGGTCCCGTTTGTTACATTATTTCTATGCTAACTTCTAAATTCAATAGGTTCTGAATTCTGGTTTCATAACAGTGTTACATACAGCAAATCTCAAATACTCCCTCCACAATCTTAGAATAGGAAATTATTTTCAAATGTAAAGCTTAGAGTCCAACCTATTCAAAAAGTTTAATGTATTTTAAAATAAGTATGACAAAAACCCTGTTGAAAAAATCCATATGACAAGCACACTCTAGTCCAAACTAAGGTAATGAATAGTACCTTCCGCTGATGGTGATTTCGTTCACTGCATAATATCTGTGTCTGGGGTTGACAGCAGCCTCGGTGGTATGATACTGGCCATGGAAGTGAAACCTTATTTGCGTGGCTTTTACAAACTTTTGAAGAGATGGGGTATTATAGAAGTCATTGTATCCAGGACGATAATTTGGCCCAGAAGTCAGAACACTAAATGTGACATTACCACGGGAATATGGAGCAAAACTGTTGATAGAAGAAATGTGATATCAAGAAAATCTGCTTATATTTTCAACAAAACAGAAGTCATAACTTTGAGACATTACTACACAGTATTGGTAAAAGGTTACATTCTTCATATTCCATATTACTACATATGCGAACTATAGGATCATTGCAGAAAGGCATACGCAAACATTTCCTTGAGGACACAGTGGAAATTTAATTAATATGGATAACTTGCTAAATGATTTGAAAATCAGATTACCAAGGTACTAGTGAGATTATAAGCAAGAAATACTCGAGTCTTTTATAGTAACTTTAAATATAGTTTGAAATTCAATTTATAGAGAAGATAGAAGATTCTGCCTCAGGAAAGTTGTTGTAGAGAGGACTACTTCGACGTAGTGAGTTAGCTTACCTGCAGGTAATTACTAACATATCATTCTACTAGAACTAAGTGTTACAAAATCATTCATACTTGGAAAGCTGAAGACAGTTGACAGAATCAGAATTTTCTAAATCTCCGTTGTTTTTCATTCCAAAAGCACTGCAATTTCTAGCAAAATATTGCCAGTCCTCCCAATCGAAACTGTCCTTCTTCTTCCTTTGAATTCTTATTGCTGTAGGTTGTGGACTAAAGAACTGAATGATTATATAAAATACCTGAAAATGAGTAAATTGATTATGATCATTAAAATGACTAGTTTGGCTTCCCAGTATAAATCAAACCATGAATTTGTTAGATTCCATTATAATGCTCGGTTCCTCGTGATGATAATTATCAAATATTTATTGGACTTTAGAAACCACACTGTCCTATAGTAAAAGCAACACACTCTATAATTATATGCCAGTTCTTCTACTCAAGGACTTTATAAATCAAAGTGCAAATTAATATCATTCAAAACAAAGACATGAGCAATGGCATTACTTCCATGAAATAGGTGTCATAATAGGTTAAGTACTTACTAAAAAAAACACAAAAAACAAAAACTTAATTTTTATTAACTTGTGCTACTTAATAATAAAAACAGTTTCAACAGTTCATAAATATTACTTTGATATAATACTCTAAAAATTAGGCTGTGCATATCTTTTAGATATGTTTATGTCATGTATTACAATATACTACTTTAATGAAATAATGTTCGAAGGCCTAGTACAGTTTTCACCATGTACCAGGCTGAATTGGACTATCACATAAATGTGTCCAAGTACTGACTCTCAATACCTGGGACTGTCACCTTATTTAGCAATAGGGCCTTTGAGGATATAATGAAATTAGGAACCTCAAGCTGAGATAATCATGGATTTGCAGGAGGTCTTTTAAGAGAAAGAAGAAAGGGTATTGGTGCACACAGAAATAAGCAAGGAGGCCACGTGAAAGCAGAGACAGACTGGAATGATGCTGCTACAAGCTAAGGAACACCTGGAGCCACCAGAAGCTGGAAGACTCAGGAAAGGATCTTCCGCTAGAGCCTTCCGAGGAAGGAAGTGTAGCCCTGCTGACACCCTGATTTTGTATTCAGAACAAAGGGAGAATAAACCTCTGCTGTTTAAAGACATGAAGTTTGTGGGAATTTTTGAAGCAGCCACAGGAAAGCAATGCATACCCATTGTTTCTAATTACCTGATACTCTCCATTTTCCAAATCTACTGAAATAGACACTCCTTGATTGAGTTGGGAGATGTTAGTAAACACAGGGGAAACCCATGAAGTCCCAATGTCATTATCGTTGACAAAAGCGAGAGGATGGGCCTCAGGATTCAGCCGCAGCACTCGATTATGGGTTGTGTCTTCTACATCATTAGGGATGCAATACCGCTGGTCCACAGGATGGACCCGAGGGTGGCTGCCCGGGCAGCGGCAATGTGACTGGATGTGCAGTCTGGGCAGATCTCCAGAAAAGACTTCTAGAATCTCTCTGTGGGAGTCAAGAGAGAGACTATAAGGATATCTTAACAGTGACAGAACATCTTAAGAGCTGTTACAAAGGAATGTCATGCTTTTAGTGTTTTGATGAATATCTTTTCAACTTTAACAATTTCTTAAATGGAACATAAAATAAAACACATTTTTGGCCAAGTAAACTTATTCATTCTCATAGAATGTGTATCAAAACTCTATTTTAAGTGTTAACTTTTTATATCGAGATGCACGTACCAGTCCTTGTCAGATTATCTAGACATTTATTTCAATGTCACGCTATTTTACTGTGCTGATTTATGATAATATAGAAAAGTAATATTTACTTAGATTGTTAAACTGACTTACCACAGAGAGTGAGTAATAATATATTGAAAATAATGAAAATTATAGTTCAGGTTTCCAGATCATCCATGGTAAAGAAGTAAGGAAGCTAGTATCATTTTATCTGCTTCGGTAGGTGAAGGGACTGGGGTCAAAGCCATTTGTCAATAGTTTCCTGTGACTTATCAGCTCTGAGTCTGATTCCTAAAATGCTTCAGTGCCTATAGATCATATGGTAGCTGCCAACAGTCAAAAGAAGAATGCTAATTCTGGACATATGCGATTTTTTCATTAAAGGCAATATTCCTGCTATGTATTAGGATCAGTCATTTCACCTGTAAGCATTCTCTCATCTAACACCTTTCCAAACATTTCAGGAGGCCATTACTAGTAACAGAGATCTAACTAGAGAGCCCAGGCTTCTTGCAATGGAGGACGCAGGAAGCTTTTCTATTCACTGTCACATGAAGTGATACCTTCTTCCTCATCTCATTGCTATTTTTCACTGATACTAAGGTTTGAAAAGGACTAAATATCACCGTCTATTGGTTTGTCAGAAAAGTCATGACGCATTTTTGCATAGAAAACAGAAAAAAGGGGCTCTGGACTCTCATGTGACTGGACTCTCATGTGACTGACTGCAGTTTGAGCCTGGACCTGGTAGCTTGCTTTCGTACTTTCTGTCTCTCTCTCTCTGGTGAGCATGTGGATCCTATACCAAATTAAATAATAATGATATTAATGAAATTAAATAGATAATTCTTTAAAAAATAAAACCAAAAATAATATGTTATGACTTTTCCAATAACCCAATAGTATGAAGTCTATGCCCTGAGGAAATTTTTTATTTCCGAAGAATTACTGTAAGATTGCTCTTCAGCATTTCAGACAAAGGTGATCCAAAAGACAGTAAGGTTAGTAGAAATAAATCCCCCTAATAATATGTTCCACTGCTACAGTACTCTTCATTGAGGCATCTCATGTTTATACAGATTCATTAAAATCGAATGTTTGTATTGATGATAGTTCTGCCACTGACCATTGCACTATCTTTAGAGTAATGCTTCTCAAATTTACAACTAGAACTATCATTTAAAATTTACCACACTAATCTCCAGTTCCCTTGACAAAACATTCTTCTTTATGGTCTTTAAAAGAAGAAAGATCAACTCATCCATATAACAATATACTAATATTTCATCAGTTCGTAAGTTGGAAAAGAAACTTCAGAGGCCATCTTAAGCAGGATTTCACTTGAAGTTTTCAGAATGGGAATCTGTGTACTTTTAAGAATCCTTTAAAAAATGTCCTATTCACTCTCAAGATGAGTAAATATTTCATTAAAGATGCCCAAGTCTATATAATTATTTGTTCATTGGAATTTTAAAAATATATAACGATACTTCAAATACTAATTCTTTTAGTCTCCAACTCTAATAGCCTGGTCTCTAGAGACAAGCCCATAGCTCAAAAAAATGAGTCATTTTTATTGTTCTACATTTTTTAGTTTTACAAATTCAACAAAGAGATTTTAAAAGCAGATGTAGCCATTTCCTAAGCATTAGAAAGTATTTCATATATAACATTTAAATAAACGTATCTCGAATTCTATGAAACATTCACAAATCAAATTTTCTAAAAGAAAATATTTTGTAGGGAACCAGCAGTTAGCATAATGGCTACGTTGCTGGACTCCCACGTAGTCGACCGCAGTTCACATCCCGGACCTGGTGGCTTAAAACTCAC